CTTGAATATAGCGGCTGAACAGGTCTGAAATTGTTGGTTATATTATATTGTTGGTTATTGGAATCGGTTTCAGAGGACATCAAAGTACGAAATGTCGCCATCTGTAAAATAAAATATTGATTTTATGAGAATTGAAAATCATCTCTACCGAAGACGCCATATTGCGTCTTATTTAATACTAGGCGTAGGATTTTATTTTTTGCGTATTTGTATTCATAAGCTCAAATTATTACAGTTACTTTATCAATGTATCCTGAATTTTTATGTTCAGATATTAAACCATGGACCGTATATAGATCCATGATTACGTTACGTTAACTTAGCACTCCTCCAACCTCGTGGGTTTTCTCCGGGTCCTCCGGTTTCCTCCCACTGCTAAAGACCCCTACGCGCAAGCGAATTATTGAAATAAAATAAAACCATATGTTAGTCCCGAAATGACCTAGTTTGTGTCGAGTGGACGTTAAACCCCATTTCTCTCTCCCTCACTTATCACGCCAATATCAGTCCCGACAGTTTACGATCATGTCTGTTTAAATCGTTCAAAAAGGAGCTTTCAAAATTCCGCCATATTGTAGCCTCGATATTCATATACGGACTACAAGTGGTCCAAGGGAGTACATCACTACGCGGGAATCTTTAAAAGTGAACATTCGTAAACCGGTTCATTCGACCGTTTCACTAATTTTGACCCTTTAAAGCCCCTTTTTGTATCTGTCACGTATCACGTATGCAAGAAACAGAAAGTACTTAATGTTGACATTATCCTTTAATGAACACAGTTAAGAAAACTTTAGGACATGACTGTCTTTAAATGATACGAGATTGTATTTTACCTGGGACGTACCCGACCATTTCCCAGGAGATTTCGACAATAAACATACCTGGGTTTTTGAGATTTTTATAGTTTCAGTAAAAACTGTCCACACAACAACTTCATTACATGAGGGTGTTGTCAAACTTCCACTGTATCGGAAAAAGTTGGTTGGGTTACTTGGGATAAAGTTCATCAGAGCTGTGTTGTTTAAAGATACCAGGTCTGTAATTTAAAATAAAATGAATTAGACAAACATCACAACGTACATTGTCAGTCACGAACATTCCAGTCGTAATTTCTCTGTAACAATGGTTACTCTTATCAATTTTAACAAATGATATGGCGATTGCACTACTCGGGCATTGTTGCGTCTTGCTTGTATATCAAAGTTATGTTTTTCTTTTCATTTTGAGTGAGAACTGAGTCATTTCAGGCTCGGGACTCTCTACATCGTAATCCTACACATACAGAAACCAGTGTACCCAGATAAAATTCACGAGGTTGGAAAGACGAACCTACCCCTTGCCACGTACACGAGGGTAATCGAAAGCACACCCGTTGACTCAGTGACAGACCTTATGGGTAATATATTCCACTAATTGTCAATAACATACTTACTGCTAGAGTTGTATGCTGTGATGTCAGCTAATTTGGAAATAAGCTCATCATAATAAGCATTATCACAGTCTGAAATCTACAAATAAAACATATAAATATGAGCACATTAGGCATTACACGCATTTCAACAGCATATTCTAGTCGTAATGTTATGTTTTGTTTGGCCCATAAGAAATGAAATGAAATGATATTGGGTTTAGCCTACTAATGAAATCGGGCATACGCCTGGTGATATCCTTTACTCTTATTCCAACCATTGTCAAACTTACTATGGTAAAGTGGTATTTTGTTTATTTTGTACATCAACAAATGAATATATGGGTCTTTATTCTGGAAATAAGTTATATTAACTTATATCACTTACCTCAAACATGAACCCAAGAACAGCAAGACCATCTTTTACACCTACAGAATTTCCTAGACTTCCTAGAGAAGTTTTATAATGGACGAGATGAACCTAGAAATTGAAGGGAAAAGTATAATTTTCTTCATACTCACAACCATATTAGAAATGTTCCATTGCCTCTGAATAGAAAACTTTAAAAGTTACTAATATGTCACATTATAGAGGCCAACACGAATTTTATTTTACTTTGATTACATGTATCACGTATTTTTCGATCTCGGTATATAATGTGACTTAGGGAAAGGAAGAGGTGACTTTAAAAGCAATTGAAAGCTTTTCTAGTCACAGGTCTGGAGCCGAACTAAAAATATTCTAGCAGATAGTTCGATCCAGTGCCAAAACATCAGATCTAAAAGTCGTTAATTCTATAATACAAACATTCTTTAAAGAGAACTTACTTCCATGGGATACGTTTTACTGTTAAGTTGATGTTCGGAACCTTTAGTGTCATCAGATCCCCAATGGAAGTGAAACTGCGCAAGTTTATATTGTTCTGAAAGGCCGCCATTCGAAATATATTGATTACCGGTGACGTCAACTTGGGCTGAAATAATAATAAAATATTAACATATAACAGCTTTGTGAAACTCCTGTTTTCATTATTCCGGTCGGGGCAGAAAAAAAGCACATTAAACCCCATTATTTCAGTTTCTCGGAAGCCTTTCAAGAAATAATAATATCACCTACTCTTGCGTACATTTCAGTTGCCCTTTAATGTAATTAGTTTAATGCTAGCACAGATATGTTAAGTTTAAGTAAGCAAACACGAGTATCAATTGAAGTATAAATGAAGTTTGATTGTATATCATGGTTTAAACTCTTTATTTAACCTATATGCTAACAACCATAAATTGGTTGTATATCAAATTGGTTGTATAACTTTATATTTAACCACATTATAAGTCCCACCCGAACGAATGCAACTTGACCCCACACCCACCCCCTTCCACTCACAATGGGGCAAAACGTTTTCGACCAAAACCGAAATTAAAATTATAGATCCAGCCTTTTGGAAAGGGGGAGCGGAGGAGTTGTTATATCCATATATACCTTATGCTGTTATGAATGACTATTTTAATATATCTTACCAGTATGTCCGTTGTTTTTAATCGTTAAGGCGACTGGTGTGTCATATCCGGTCATTGTCATGTTTCCAAGGCTAGCTTGTAATGTTGTATCGGAAATTTTAATATTGATGGGTGATTGACTGTTCTCGCCACATGTAGAGTACGCCTGTGCCCAATTTGACGGACCTGAAACATAGTAATATATTGATAATTCCCCACACTTTGAATTAAAATTAAATTATCTTTACCACGATAAGATGAAGAATATAATTATATAATTAGACATAACATCCATATTCTATTCCTATAACATACCGTTTTATGTTGATGAAATTATAAGCAACAATTAAACGCAATGCTCATTATTCTTTTACACGGAATTATCATTTTGAAAACTTGGGTATGGGTGTAATGTTATTTATCTAAAAAATTAATGGGGGGGGGGCAGAATATATCAGATATACATACCACTGTTCTCGTATCCCCACGCTGAAAATAAAGAAAAAAAAATTCTTCAATTCTTTAATTAATAATTCTAAGCACGATATTTATAATTTCATTCAGAAAAGACATGTACCTAGGAGACGCTATGTTTTGAATCAAGATACGTGTTTTCCCCTTTTTTTATAGGTCACATTCGTCTTTAATTCTTGTTGGAAAAGATAATGTGTCTTTAAATCCTAAAACAATGCAAATGAAATGGAATAAACACAGATAGCAAAGAATGTTAATTTAATAGAGTATTTAACTGTAGTACATAAAGCAGCGTATGTCGTATTCTTTCTAAAAACAAAATTAGAATGAATTCACAAAATTAGAAATGTTCTTTCTTTTCGAGCATGTGCGCACTGTATCATAAGGTCTGTCATTGAGTATAATTGCGTGGTTTCGATTCCCCGGTTGTACGTGACAAGAGTCGGGTCGCCTGTCCAACATCGTGGGTTTTCTCCGGGTCCTCCGGTTTCCTCTCACTGCTAAAGGCCCCTACGCGCTAGTGAATTATTGGAATAAAATTGAACCATGTTAGTCCCGAAATGATCTAGTTTGTGTGGAGTGGAAGTTAAACCCTATTTCTCTCTCTCTCTCTCTTTCTTATAGGTGTTAGTAAACGGTATATATCCGGCAAATATATAGCAGTATCATTTACCCAAAGAATGTTTAGTCCGTTATTGTTATCACACGATAGTAAATATGTTTGTCTGGCTTTTTTAGGGATACAACATTAATCTTAATTGGATTTTTTTTTTTAAATTATTTTTCTTGAAAAATGAAATTATATTACAACCAATTCATTTTTTGTCTGGTAAAAATATAAAAAAAATGTTTAATTATTCTAAACTTACATGCTGCTGTAGATAGTCCTACGAATGTCAGAAAGGTAAAAGCGACACTTAACTCCATTTTAGTAAATTTTTATACAAGTTTTTCTCTGACTGTCAGTTTACTTTCTGTGATCTGAATTCGGCCGTTCCTGAAGCACTGAATACCATCCAATTTTTCCTGCCGTTTTTAAACCATATGGGGGCGGGCCTAGCGCGGCTAAAGCGTCGTCACGTTACATATACGGTTTTGTTTCACTATAGCGATATAAGTAGATTATTGTGTAAGCCAAGTTCTTTAATAATTATTCAATTTTGGTTAAATTGTCTTTACAATTAACTCATTAACCTGTTATTTTTATTTAGTACAAGTCACTAGGGGCGACATTTTGTTTATCTTCTTTTGTGTAAGTAATCAAACCTTTAAAACGATTGGAGATGGGTTTCTTAACAAGCAGATTATAATCCTTATAAGACATATAGAAGTAGATTTCACAAATGGTTTCCTTCCCTGTACTTTTTGATTTCTTGCCTGTGCGGTTAACCCCCCTTTTCATCTTGTAGTTATGGTTTCATTCCTTGATTAGTGTTTAATTGTTATCTATTGCTATCTCCCATCTCGTTAATAATTATTAGTTTGATCTGCTAAATTCATCTCGCTTCTAATTGTTATCAATACATTACAGTCTTTCATCTTGTTAATCCTTTGTAATTGTTTATCCATATTATTACTCCGACAAGGTTTTTTTTTAGGTCAACAGTGTCTAAATTACTGCATAAAGGACCAGCAAGGAAAGACATATTATAGATATGCATATTCTGCACATCATATTCAAATTCTAAAAAATTTCATCAACAAATTGAAAAAAATGTAATATGGATGATTCAAATTTTGGCCCATATTGGGCTACAATTGGTTTTATTCAGTTCGACCACAACCTTCAAACAACAATCTGTGAAACTCTGGGCGGTTTAAGTTAATTAATTTGACAAATTTGAAGCACCAGCGAATAAACAATAAACACTCTATTCAACAGGAAAGAATGTTGAAAAATCTCTGAACACCCTAGTTAGTGAGCCAGTGCTATACTCATTGAACAAACGTAGTAAAATTCCTTAAAATGAGTTACAAATCCAGAGCCCTGTTTCTCGAAATGTTAAAGGACAATATTGGTGTCAGTCATTATTACATATTTAATAGAACTGGTTAAATACATTCCAAATATAATTTTAACACAGAGATCATTGCTACGGAGACGTGTAACAAGTACGTTAAGAAACGGGAAGTGACGCCAAACATGACAAACACGAGTTGTCCTTCTATATAGCAGACTGAAGTAACGAGCGGTAAGAGACAAACGATCGAATTTCATTTCACTGATAATTCCGCTGAAGTTGAAAAGTTATTTTATGGGACGGTGAGAGGGTATCTCACAATTCAAAAATAGAATTGGCTGTCACTAGATAAGGGACACGAGAAAAAGTAGAAAAATCCCATGCATTCCCCCGTTTTTATTCATTCTGTTCTTAAAGGACAATATTGGTGCTTGTCATTATCACATATGTGATAGAACTGGTTAAACACGTTCCAAATATTATTTTATCACAGAGATCATTGCTACGATAGATGAATAATCAATGTTTCAACAATAGGAAGTGACGAACGCAAAAGGAAAACAGGAGTTACCCCTCTATATAAATGGCTGAAGTGAGGGGTGATAACAGATACATGGGCGAATTTCTGCTCACTAAAAATTCCTTCGAAGACCAAAAGTTGTTATATGAGACTGTAAGAGTATATCTGACAATTCAAAAAAGTAATTGCATGTCATTAGATAAGAGAACACGAGAAAAATAGAAACAGTCCGTACATTCACGGGTGTTTATTCATTCTATACTTATAAAAACATGGTAATGCACGGACTTTTTCTATTTTTCTTTCACGTTCTCTTATCTAGTGAGATTCGGTTTTGTTTATGAATTGTCAGATATCCTTTCACAGTCCCAAACAACAACTTTTCATCTTCAACGGAATTATCAGTGAAATGAAATTCGATCGTTTGTCTGTTACGTTACCGCTCATTACTTCAGTCAGTTATATAAAAGGATAATTATGTTTGTCATGTTTGACGTCACTTCCCGTTTCTTCACGTGCTTGTTACACAACTCCCGTAGCAATGATCTCTGTGTTAAAATTATATTTGGGATGTATTTAACGAGCTCTATCACATATTTTATAATGACTGACATCAATATTGTCCTTTAACTAAAGATAAAATCCAAATTTTAGTAGATACATGTACTTCAATTTTGATTGGCTAAGCACTAAAATCAATCTAATATTATCCAATCAAATTACTAAAATTTGGATTTTATCTTAGTTAAAATTTCGTGAAACAGGCCCCAACTCTCATTTCCCGACTATATAATTCTGTGCTATTTTTGGACACGGATCGTCACCGAGCGCTTCAAACAAATGCCTAACGCTCCGCCAATTCAAGTAAGATCAACATGAAACCTGACAGGATTGTTCCTTGGACACAGTTAGATACCAAAATAAAGACACTAATGGTGTTGTGAATCTTATTTTGAGGACCCTCCCCTCCTAAATTTCAGGTGTTGTGACATGGAGTTGGAAAAGTGGCAGCAGATCAAAACCGAAGACAACGGAATAGGCCTAGTAAAATAAATTTGATTATACATTACAGATATGTCTTGTCAGCAAAAGATATTAACCAAATTTGGTAAGGATCCCCGCCAAGAAAGCTGACATCTAAGTGTTAACACAGTTAACACAGAAAAAGGGCGGTAACTCCGAAACGGGTGGTTACAGAACGGAGAATATTTATGGGATTCGCCCCCCCCTCCCCATTACCCTGAAGCTTCACTTCACATCCGATGTGAAACAAACTCATTAAAGAGTGTATTCTCTATCATATTCAGAAGGCTTTAGGAAAGTTGGTGAAAACAGTAGGCCGTAGCGCAGCCGTCCGGGAAAAAATTAACTTAAAGAACTTTGCATTCCCTATATACTTGTCTTTATTAGCCAAGTCGGCTAAATCCCATTTCATTTCTTTTCCTTTGGCGAAAAGGACATTAAAATCCAATTAAAACAACAGCAATACAATTTATACTATATAAATATTTTATTATATTGTGTGAGAATCATAAAATTAACATATTAAACATGTAGATAATAATTTAACTCATATTTCTCCGTTATACATAACATACACAAAATACAAATAAATCACCTGAGACAATATATTTTAAAATACATATGAAAATAAAACATTTAATAGAAAATATAAATATAATATCTAAGAAGTGACATGCACACAAAAAAGTGTCCTAAAATATTTTGACAAAGTTTACAACAACGATTCGGCGATCTTACTTCCCTTCCTGCTCGCTTTCTATTTATGGAATATTTTTATTAGTCGATAAAAATAGCACAGTTATCAAGGGCGGATAATTTGACAATGTGTCTCCCCCGTGAATGTACCCAGGGGTTAGTGAAATAGAACGGAACGATACCACTGGGTATACCGAGCATGTATCGCTTGGTGGTACATACATAACGAGAAAATTCTTTGTCGCGGAATGACAAGCTTGGCAAATTACCACCGGCAAAAAAAACCTTTGTCCGTTGGCATCGCACCCAGACGATGTTTTTTGCAAGCAATATACGGGCAATGAAACATCGCTTACAAATTGCCCAAGAAGTCGCCAATGTGCGCCAGACTTAAGAATGAGTAGAAAGCGTGAAAAGTAATAATTCTCTTGTCATTACTATATACTATAATTTTTAGAGCTCTTTGTTCCAGTAATGACAAACCTACAAGATGTAGAAGAAGTACTTTAGTCTTATCTCAAACATCACAGCCAACTGAGACATTCATCATTTGATATTCTTAAAATCGAATGTCTAAACTGAATAAACATATGTTTCGTCCATACCTATATATAATTTACATTGCAACTAGACGAAAAAAGACGAATTCGATCTAATATCCTATCAGTATATACGCTCATTAAAGTTTCCAATATTGTACGTGCATTGCAAAATGGCACTCCTCATAATTAGCCAATCATGCAGAACGATACCCCCTCCCCCCACCCCAAGTCGGCTTCCTACATAAATTAATCACATGCACCGTTTTTTCATCAAAAGAACAGAGTTAGGATGAATTTAATGAGAGAGAATGTTGGATAAGATGAGTGATAAGACACCGGTATAAACTGTAAGATATGCTGTTGTGGCGGAGCTTGAGTAGAAATTAGAAAGTACTGGTCTTGAATATAGCGGCTGAACAGGTCTGAAATTGTTGGTAATATTATATTGTTGGTTGTTGGAATCGGTTTCAGAGGACATCAATGTACGAAATGTCGCCATCTGTAAAATAAAATATTGATTTTATGAGAATTGAAAATCATCTCTACGGAAGACGCCATATTGCGTCTTATTTAATACTAGGCGTAGGATTTTATTTTTTGCGTATTTTTATTCATAAGCTCGAATTATTACAGTTACTTTATCAATGTATCCTGAATTTTTATGTTCAGATATTAAACCATGGACCGTATATAGATCCATCATTAAACTGTCCTCAGATGCGTTACGTTAACTTATCACTCCAATAACAGTCCCGACAGTTTACGATTATGTCTGTTTAAATCGTTCAAAAAGGAGCTTTCAAAATTCCGCCATATTGTAGCCTCGATATTCATATACGGACTACAAGTGGTCCATGGGAGTACATAACTAAACAGTCGTGAACCTGTTCATTCGGCCGTTTCACTAATGTTGTCCCTTTAAAGTCCCTTTTTGTATCTGTCGCGTATCACGTATGCAAGACACAGAAAGTACTTAATGTTGACATTACCCTTTAGTGAACACAGTTAAGAAAACTTTAGGACATGACTGTCTTTAAAATATACGAGATCGTATTTTACCTGGGACGTACCCGACCATATCCCAGGAGATTTCGACAATAAACTTACCTGGGTTTTTGAGATTTTTATAGTTTCAGTAAAAACTGTCCACACAACAACTTCGTTACAAGAGGGTGTTGTCAAACTTCCACTGTATCGGAAAAAGTTGGTTGGGTTGCTTGGGATAAAGTTCATCGGAGCTGTGTTGTTTAAAGACACCAGGTCTGTAAATAAAATGAATTAGACAAACATCACAACGTACATCGTTAGTCAAGAACATTCCAGTCGTACTCTCTGGAACAATGTTTACTCTTATCAGTTTTAACAAATGACACGGCACTTGCACTACCCGGGCAGTGTTGCGTCTTGCTTGTAAATCATGGTTATGTTTGTTTATTTTTTCATTTTGAGTGAGGTCTGTGTCATTTCAGGCTCGGGACTCTCTACAACGCAATCCTACACATACAGAAACCAGTGTACCCAGAGAAAACTCACGAGGTTGGAAAGACGAACCTACCCCTTGCCACGTACACGAGGGTAATCGAAAGCACACCCGTTGACTCAATGAAAACCTTATGGGTAATATATATTGTCAATAGCATACTTACTGCTAGAATTGTATGCTGTAATGTCAGCTAATTTAGAAATAAGATCAGCATAATTAGCATTATCACAGTCTGAAATCTACAAATAAAACATATAAATATTAGCACATTATGCCTTACACGCATTTCAAAAGCATATTCTAGTCGTAATGTTATGTTTTGTTTGGCCTATGAGAAATGAAATGAAATGATATTGGGTTTAGCCTACTAATGAAATCGGGCATACGCCTGGTGATATCCTTTACTCTTATTCCAACCATTGTCAAACTTACTATGGTAAAGTGGTATTTTGTTTATTTTGTACATCAACAAATGAATATATGGGTCTTTATACTGGAAATAAGTTATATTAACTTATATCACTTACCTCAAACATGAACCCAAGAACAGCAAGACCATCTTTTACACCTACAGAATTTCCTAGACTTCCTAGAGAAGTTTTATAATGGACGAGATGAACCTAGAAATTGAAGGGAAAAGTATAATTTTCTTCATACTCACAACCATATTAGAAATGTTCCATTGCCTCTGAATAGAAAACTTTAAAAGTTACTAATATGTCACATTATAGAGGCCAACACGAATTTTATTTTACTTTGATTACATGTATCACGTGTTTGTCGATCTCGGTAATGTGACTTAGGGAAAGGAAGAGATGGCTTAAAAGCAATCGAAAGCTTTTCTAGTCACACGTCTGGTTCCGAACTAAAAATATTCTAGCAGATAGTTCGATCCAGTACCAAAACATCAGATCTAAACCTCGTTAATTCTCTAATACAAACATTCTTCAAAGAGAACTTACTTCCATGGGATAGGTTTTACTGTTAAGTTGATGTTCGGAACCTTTCGTGTCATCAGATCCCCAATGGAAATGAAACTGTGCAAGTTTATATTGTTCTGAAAGGCCGCCATTCGAAATATATTGATTACCAGTGACGTCAACTTGGGCTGAAATAATGGTAAAATATTAACATATAACAGCTTAGCCTGGTGAGACAGAAAAAAGGACGTTAAACCCCATTTGATTTTATTTCCTATTTTATTTCAGTTTCCCGGAAGCCTTTCAAGAAATTACCACCCACTCTTGCGTACATTTCATTTTCCCTTTAATGTGATTAGTTTAATGCTAGCACAGATATGTTAAGTTAAGGTAGACAAACACGAGTATCAATTGAGGTATCAATAAAGTTTTAATGGCATCGAAAATCTCTAAACATCCATGCTGGAAACAATTATCCCAGGCATTCAATCAAGATTTTTAGTATTGATTTTTAACACAGATATGTTAAGTTAAGGTAGACAAACACGAGTATCAATTGAGGTATCAATAAAGTTTTAATGGCATCGTATATCTCTAAACATCCATGCTGGAAACAATTATCCCAGGCATTCAATCAAGATTTTTAGTATTGATTTTTAACAGCGGATTTAACTCTATATTTAACCTTAGTTCCAATAACCTCAAATTGATCCTGTATGGTTTTAAACTCTATATGTACCTTTATTCTAACAGCTTCAAACTATATACCCTTTATTCTAATAGCCACAATTTGATTGTATATCATGGTTTAAACTCTATATTTACACTTTATTCTAATAACCACAAACGGATTGTATTTCATGGTTTAAACTTTATATTTAACGTATATGCTAAATTGATTGTACAGGTACATGTATATGGTTTAAACTCGTATTTAACCTGTATTTTAACACCCCAAACTCTATATTTAACCTTAGTTCTAACAACAGATTGTATTTAACCTTTATTCGAACACCCTCAAAATGATTGTATATGGTTTTATCTTTATATTTAACCACATTATTCGTCCCACCAGAACGAATGCAACTTTCCTCCCACCCCCTTCCACATGGGGCAAAACGTTTTCGACCTAAACCGGAAGTAAACACGGGAACTCCCGCTTAGTCAGCCAGCGCCTTACACACCGAAGCAGTGTCCCACCGCACAATAAAATAGGTTTTTATTTCAAGTTGAAAAAGTGCAGATCCAGCCTTTTGGAAAGGGGTAGGGGAGGGACCTGACAATTAAGCGATAGTCCTTGGCCTAGTTATCAGTTAATTGGTTCGCTGTCCAGAATCTCGATTATCAAGACAGTGCTGGGTGTGTTAAGGGACACTGGGTTAGAATAAGACACATATTTTCGAGATTATTTTAATTCTTTAAATGGTATCTAGAAGCACGGTTAACTATTCATAAAAAAACCCACAAGGTATATAACTACTTCTCTATTATTTGGATATAACTAATTCTCTATTATTTGGATATAACTAATTCTCTATTATTTAATATTATTTAAATAATAGAGAATTAGTTATAGAGAAGTAGTTATAGAGAAGTGGTTATATCCATATATACCTTGTGCTGTGTTTTGTTATGATTTGATTATTTTAATATAATCTTACCAGTATGTCCGTTGTTTTTAATCGTTAAGGCAACTGGTGTGTCATATCCGGTCATTGTCATATTTCCAAGGCTAGCTTGTAATGTTGTATCGGAAATTTTAATATTGATGGGTGATTGACTGTTTTCGCCACATGTAGAGTAAGTCTGTGCCCAGTTTGACGGACCTGAAACATAGTAATATATTGATAATTCCCCACACTTTGAATTAAAGTTAAATTATCTTTACCACGATATAAGATGAAGAATATAATTATAATTGGACATAACATCTATATTCTACTGCTGTAACATACGGTTTATGTTGATGAAATTATAAGCAACAAACGGATTTATTGGGTATGGGTGGGTGGATGGAATGTTATTTTATCAATTTCATTTAGGGGAGTCTTGGCGGGGTGGGGGGGGGTGTAAACTATATCGGATATACATACCACTGTTCTCGTATCCCCACGCTGAAAATAAAGACAAAAATACTTTAATTCTTTAATAATTCTAAGCACGATATTTACAATTTCATTCAGAAAAGACATGTACCTAGGAGACGCTATGTTTTGAATCAAAATACGTGTTTCTCCTTTTTTATAGGTCACATTCGTCTTTATTTCTTGTTGGAAAAGATAATGTGTCTTTACCAAAACAATGCAAATGAAATAATCACAGATAACGAAGATTGTTAATTTAATACTCTATTTAACTGTAGTACATAAAGCAGCGTATGCGTATTCTTTTTAAAAAAAACCCACTACCAATTATTATTTAATGAATTCACAAAATTAGAAATTTTCTTTCTTTTCAAGCACGTGCGTGCTGTATCATCAGGTCTGTCATTGAGTCAACTGTTGTGATTTCGATTCCCCAGTTGTAAATGACAAAGGGTATTGGATTAAAATTGAACCATGTTAGTCCCGAAATGATCTAGTTTATGTCGAGTGGAAGTTTAATCCCATTTCTCTCTCTCCCACCCCCCTCTCTTTCTTTTCGGTGTTAGTAAACGCCATATATCCGGCATATATATAGCAGTATCATTTACCCAAAGTTACTCCGTTATTGTTATCACCCGATTGTAAACATGCTTTTCTAACGGTAAATATCGCTATATATTTAATTCATTGACAACATTAAAGCTTTTTTAGTGGTACAACATTAATCTTAATTTGATTGGGTTTTTTTTTTAAATCATTTCTCTTGAAAAATGAAATTTTATTACAACCAATTCATTTTTTTGTCTGGTAAAAATATAAAAAAAAAATGTAGAATAATTTGTTTAATTATTCTCAACTTACATGCTGCTGTAGATAGTCCTACGAATGTCAGAAAGGTAAAAGCGACACTTAACTCCATTTTAGTAAATTTTTATACAAGTTTTTCTCTGACTGTCAGTCTACTTTCTGTGATCTGAATTCGGCCGTTCCTGAAGAACTGAATACCATCCAATTTTTCCTGTCGTTTTTAAACCATATGGATTTGGGCCTAGCGCAGCTAAAGCGTAGTCACGTGACATGTACGGTTTTGTTTCACTATAGCGATATAAGTAGATTATTGTGTAAGCCAAGTTCTTTAATAATTATTCAATTTTCATTTAATAATATTAGCAAATGAACAATGCCCTAAATTGATATCTTATTCTTATCTAATACTATTATAATAATTATAAAAATTTGATCTTTAGCTGTATGGGAGGAGAGAGAGAGAGAGAGAGAGAGAGGGGGGGTTTAACGTCCACTCGACACAAACTAGGTCATTTGGGGACCCGGAGAAAACCCACGAGGTTGGACAGGCGACCCTACTCCTTGTCACGTATAACCGGGGATTCGAAACCACGCCAGTTGACTCAATGACAGGCCTATGATACAGCACGCACGTGCTAACCATTCGGCCATCCACAAGCACCCCCACCCCCCAAACTGGGTGACAATACCACAGAAATATGTATGTGAGTTATCGGTAGTTAGTGTTGGAATTGGCTACAGCAAGGACAGAAAACAACAACACGGCAGAATTATTAGACACCTTAGTTCAACGTCAGGAATGTTCTCTTCCCGTCTTGGGGAGGAGGAGGAGGGGGGGGGGGCTGTTAATAGCAATTAATAATATCCATTAACATGTAGTTATCACCCGCTAATTAGAAAAGCTAACAAATCATATTAAAACCAAAGCCATCAAAGCAATGCAATATGTTCATGATTTTCATTCATAAATTCTAATCATTTTGTATTGTCATCTGTATTAAAAGTTATATTCTAAATTAAATGTATACCATAGAAATAATGGCTACATGAAAACACTAATCTCCTACGATTGTTTTAATATAATTAAATGTATTAATTGTATTAGGATTTAATATTATTTAATTAAGCTCCTTCTACACCCTTATGTGTTGTCTTTACAATTAACATATTAACCAGTTAGTTTTCTTTAGTACAAGTCAACAGGGACGACATTTTGTTTATCTTCTTTTGTGTAAGTAATCAAACTTTTAAAACGATTAGAGATGGGTTTCTTAACAAGCAGATTATAATCCTTATAAGACATATAGAAGTAGATTTGACAAATTAAAAACACATAATCAGTGTATGGTTTCCTTCCCTGTACTTTTTGATTTCTTGCCTGTGCGGTTAACCCCCCTTTTCATCTTGTAGTTATGGTTTCATTCCTTGATTAGTGTTTAATTGTTATCTATATATTGCTATCTCCCATCTCGTTAATAATTATTAGTTTGATCTGCTAAATTCATCTCGCTTCTAATTGTTATCAATACATTACAGTCTTTCATCTTGTTAATCCTTTGTAATTGTTTATCCATATTATTACTTCTCTCATCTTGTTAATTCTTAATTAATGATTAATCAGTTATATGGTTTCCAATTGTTATCTATATATTGCACCACATTTTTGATAAATATCATTATTTGCTTGACAACGATATCTCTGTGTATCGAAACGTAACATGTTTAATAATTCAGAAGTAGTATATCCATATACGTGTTTTTAACTAGCAGATTATATTAATTAGATTATAGTTTCATAAAAAGGGAGATAATATTTTATCAAAAAGAATGTAAATCGTCTTGTTCATTGATTTTTATTGATTAATTGTTTTTAATGTTGTTGCTGGTTGAATAAATTAATATCCAGATTATACAGTTGTTCCTGATTTTATGGAAGTAACCCACCAGGTTACAATAATTCCACAATTTTCGATAAATGATGAAATTAATTTTATCTTTATTTTCATGTTAATGGAGCAATGTTGACTTGGTTGATGATAAACAAAATTATCCTCTGGTCATAGTTGATTCTACACACATATTTTATAACAGTCAGAAGCCGCAGACACAAATGTATATCTATCTATCTATCTTCTATACTAATATGTGTGACTGTCGTTTGTCTGTCTGTCTGTCTGTCTGTTCGGGGTTGGCGGCTACACTAGGTCTGCCCCGAGTCTGAAATTTGGGGTATAGGGGTAGCTCGGACCGGGGAGTAACATAGGCCAGGTGGCGTTAGTCTACCACTTCCGGTTTCGGAGTTATGACCCCCGAGTGAAGCCGGGTATCCTGCTAGTAACTAATAACCGACAAGAGGATTGTTTTGGTCAACAACGTCTAAATTATTGCACAAAGGACCAGCAAGGAAAGACATGTTATCAGGGCTGCCGACAACCAGTATCGCAGCGCAATTTGCGATACATATTTCGTCCGTTGCTAACCAAAAATTAAAATCTGACGTTTTTGATTCGCAGTTACTGCGAATCATTAATGTGCCTGTCATTTTGGATATTGTCACAAGAATAATCCACATTTTGAAGACTAGAAGGCTTATTCAACACTTTCAACGTGTATAAAATGTTGAATAAAATTTTATAAACAAAACTGAATTCTCCGTGTGACATTTTCTTCTCGAACTACCCAGACACAATACTATATAACACAGGGACATAACTCTATGAATAGGGACTATTAAACCGGAAATAGGGAATCAAGTAGTCGCACTCACGTTGCGAGACATCAAGTAATTATATCATATTCATTTTGAAATAAATAACTCCAGTGTATCGCACGTATTGTAAATAAAATATAAAAAAATAAATACATGTTAACGTATTGTAAAATGATAAATCAAAGTAAAAATTCCCGTAAAATATTGTTTATATCGCGTGTGTCTAGTTAATCGAGGTGCGGCCGACTGAACAAAAATAGTAATACACGATAAAAAGCAGACGAGATCGTTTTCTAACGAAGATTTCTAACGTAACAAAAAAATAACAATTAAAATGAGTGGGGCTTCGGAAGTCACTGTCAAGAATTGGCTTCAGACATAAGACCTAACTAAATGTCTACATCACATTTACAAACTGTCACAAGTACTTGTGGCAGTGCTAAAAAAATCTAAGAATAGTCAGAATGGAATCTAATCATATTTGTTATGAATTAAAGTAATATCTAGGTATTTACATTGAAACTGAAAAACTGCTAATCAATTTTTAAATTTGCTAATCAAATTTGGCAAAATTGGACTTTTTGATTAGCAGTGCTGCTAATCAACTGTGAAAAATTACCGACAGCCCTGCATGTTATAGATATGCATATTCTACACAGCATATCCAAAATATAAATAATTTCATAAACAAACTGAAAAAAATGTATTATGGATAATTTAAATTTTGCCCCCTATTGGGCTACCAATGATTTTATTCAGTTCGACCACAACCTTCAAATAACAATCTGTGAAACTCTAAAGCGGTTTAAGTCAATTAATTTGACAAATCTGAAGCAGCAGCGAATAAAAAATAAGCCCTCTATTCAACACCTCTAATAAGAGGAAACAATGTTGAAAAAATCTCTGGACACCCTAGTTAGTGAGGCAGTGCCATACTTATTGAACAAACGTAATGCAATTCCTTAAAATGAGTTACAGAGAGAGAGAGAGAGAGAGAGAGAGGGGGAGAGGTAGATGGTTTAACGTCCACTCGACACAAACTAGGTCATTTCGGGACTAACACATGGTACGATTTTATTTCAATAATTCGCTTGCGCGTAGGGGTCTTTAGCAGTTGGAGAAAACTGGAGGACCCGCAGAAAACCCACGAGGTTGGACAGGCGACTCAACTCCTTGTCACGTACAACCGGGAAATCAAAACCACGCCAGTAGACTCAATGACAGACCTTATGATACAGCGCACACGTGCTAACCATTCAGCCACAAAACCCCACAAAATGAGTTATAAATCCAGCCCTCAATTCCCAACTAACATACAAATCATTGTGCTATTTTTGGACAAGGATCATCACCGAGAGCTTCTCGCCATGTATTACTTCTTCTTCTTTGGGGCGCCGCTCTTAAAAAAAAGCCTAACGCTCCGATAAAATTCAAGTAAGACCAACTTACATAATTTGATATCTTTATATCATATCATTGTTTGTAAGCAGGTGTAATACCAGATTAATATTCA